TATGCCGCAATAAGAGGGGATTCTAATGTTCTCAATTTTTTAATAACAATTTTAAAAACATCTTCTTGAAGATAAATTCAATATCTTTTCTCTTAGAAGTGATTTCTCCTAGAATACTGAAAACTTTTTTATTTTCCTATGGAGACCAACCAGCATTCAACAGAAATGTGTCAACACCAGCAGCTGCACGGACCACGCATTTCACATGAGCCTGGCATTTTGTCGTCATTAGCTAGCAAGATTGGTAGGCAGCCTTGACAATCACAATAAAATTACTAAAAACGCAAACAAACAAAACACGCTTTCATGTTTTTAACTAAAAAAAAGTAACTAAAACAATTAATGTAAACAATTCCAATTGCATTCGCAAAATTGCGTGTGGGCAGCTGGCAAGTACAACTGTATATTTTGCTGATATCAAGTGGAAATGTCAATAAAGAAATTCGCAAAGGCACTTGCTACAACTTGTTTATGTTGGAGTTTGCAAAAAAAGAAAGAAAATAAAACAGGAATTAATTTAACAAAATTTCAATACAAACTTAAAAAGTTCCCAATTCGCAGGCAAAGAAATTATTAAAAGGAAAAAAGGTAAGTAAAACATAAAGTTGAATTGTGATACCTATAAAGTCCCACCCAACTCAGATCTGAAAAAAAAACACTGTGGGAATTTAAAGGAAACCGATCTCTTAAGTACATCAGCTATTCTAAGAGCTATGTATCTCGAACCCGAATACCCGTGGATATGAAACCCAAATATTATTTAGCAAGGCAGTAAGCAATTACAGCTGTCCATAAGTAATAGGAGTTTCAGCATGAGAAATGTTTGCTAATCCATACATAACCTTTTGAAAACGTTTGTAAGCGACAAGGCATGGTAACGCTACCTAACTTAACGGGTGTTAAAAAAAAATAAATACATATTCATAAATCACTTGTCTAGGCCTAAAATGATCCTGAAGAAATCTGTACTAATCCCGTCTCGTCACAGTCCGAAAATAGTCCAGAAATTATCCCGAAAAAGTGAGGAACAAGTTCTGAAATGAACTTAAAAAAGGCTTGAACTGGTACCGAAAGGGTCCCGAAAAGTCCTGAACCAGTCGCGAAATGAGGCTGAACAAGTGCCGCCCTTTAAGCCTTAAACATTTTTTTTTCATCCATAATTATTCCCTTATTGGGTTTATGAAAGCACTGCACAGAGTTATAAAGAAAAAAATTCTTAACGCATGAGATATCATATTCAACCCAAATGATACGCAAGACCGTTTATTATTAAAGGAAAACCGAAACCGCTGCAGAAAAATCCACGACATACATAGCAGACGAATGTGGTATAATATAAAAATACCTGAATTTCACGATAAGTACAGAAAGTGATCGTAGACGTTTGCAGGAGCAAAAATATTGACTACAAGTTCGCGAAAAGTGCCTTTGAGCGGAAACATAGTAATATTGTATTATTTATGTAGTATTACTGGATAAAAATCCTAAGTTCGGGGTCCAATTGATATTGGTCTCGTTTTAAAGTGGTTAGATTCGCGTACTTCTACATGTTAGGATCAAGTGTGGATTCTTGGTCAGACCAGTAGAAAGGCTACAAAATCCTACAGGTCAGGCAGGATTGTAGGTTTTTTTTCTGTGTGCCAATCTATATTTTGGCAATGCCTAGAGATCCGTCCCGGGATTTAAATAGCTCAGAGGTAAAATAACCTCTTCTGCCACTGAGATATTCAGAACGGACCCGCATCCAGCACGTCGGCCATTTCGTTGCCACTGTCTCATTTAGCTTAAAGAGGCAACTGCCTTAATCGCCGCCGGCTATCCCAGAAAATAGCAATGCTTGTAGCAGTTCGTTTTGGGGCTTGCACTATTTTAATCGCCTTTCTGATAGCAAAAAATTACGCCTGAAAAACACAGGCCCAATCTCGTAGTCGTGCTGAAGTTTTTCTTGAAGATAAGCATAGGACAGATGTAGGCAGATTTTTCGCGAATATACGATGGGTCGTTGAAACAGTACAGATCGGATTTTAGATGGCAAATCAAATCGGTCGAGGGGCGATTAGCAGGAAGGGCAATACATATACATATCAATCGTGATTTAAAAATTATTCTCATATATGATTGCATTCAGAAGACAACGACCTACTCTAAATAATTCATGATCGATTGGTCTATTTATGTATCAAGAACTTTACCTTTACCTTTATCAACGCTACATATATCAGCGAGTCTTAAAATATAATTGCAAATAACAAAAATGTTTATCGTAAGTATTACGGAACAATGGTCTTAGGCAAGCAGGTTAAAAGTCCTATTCTTGTGTGGAAGTAGGCTTTCTGCCGAATCTGGATGTAGCTGTCAAAGTCGAGTATAACAAAGTGTTTCAGTTTGCCTGGAGGGCTGTGATGTTCTTCAGCATTACTCTTGCTTTCCAAAAATTTACTTTGCAATTTGGTCGTAGGCTTTCTGGTTACGCTAAGGATCTTAACGGTCTCTGCGAAGCCATGCAGCCTAACCCAACCTATCCTCACTCAGTATTATTTGTGGTAGGAAAATTCCCTTTGAACCTTCCATAGACTTTGCTAATTCACGTTAGTCAAAGATCAGGCAATATGTAGAACGTTTTGGCTTAAATAATCGTATGGCATACTTCATCCTCAAGGCATTACTAAGTACCTTTTTGGAGAGAGTAGTACAGCTACAGGTCAAGTAAACATTGGAGGGTGAGAGAACTAGGTTTCGCAAGAGTTGCACTTTAGAGTGAGTTGAGGAAGGGGAAAGGCATCTAAATTTCTTTAAGTTGAAGACACCATACAAGAAATTGCAAACGATTATCACCACCATTATGGATATGTCCATGTGTTCATGGATTACATAATAAAGAAAGTCAATGCTTTCTACAACAAATTTGTCACTGTCACTGCTTTAACGTTTCTTGCTTATCAATCGTATCCTGAACGCATACGTGGCAAGCCAAAAAAAAACAAAATAACGAGAAGAAGATATCAGTGGCTACACACGACGAACATATCCGCGCACATGTGCGCCAACATGCTCGCTGTCGTTTGCTACAGACGGCGAGCGGCTCATAAGTGATTTTGTACTCAAAGCGTAAACATGGAAAGGAAAGACGCGGATGATGCAATTGAAATACTTATGACTTAGGGTTTTTTATGTATGTGTTACTTAAATTTATTTATATTTTACTTATATGTATGTACATACATATACATATAGTAATTTAGCCTCATTTATCAAAAATTCAATTAACGCACATGGCTTGGATGCATTTATCCGCGATGTGCACACTGCAAGCATCAACACAAAGTGAGGTTGTTGTTTTTGTTTCCAATGCGATGCTCGCAAACCACACTACAAACAACGAGCATGCTCGCTGAAAATCCAAATTTTTTGATTTTTGGCGAGCATGCTCGCAAACCGCCCTACAAACGATGAACATGACCCGCAAGCCGCGCATGTGCGCGGATATGTTCGTCGTGTGTAGCCACTGTTATACTTACGAAAGTGCAACGCCTGGCAAAGCGGTGATAGAAATAATTGCGCAAATTATGGCAAAATGACAAGTGCAACGCCGTCAGCAGTGGTGGAGGTGGAGTTTGAGGTGAAGGTGGAGCCAGTCAGCCAACGATGGTAGCCATAGAACTTGGGCGCATACATATGGGTAAATCCATGTCAAATCGACTATGTAGTGTAACTGAAAGTCGACCATGCTTAACGTTTATAATTATTTAATTTATTCATAACAACAAGGATTTCATATTTCAGTTGTGCCAAACCGTCAAACAAACTAACTTTAAGCTTCAATTTATTTATAATATTATTTATGCTTATGCAGCAATTATTTCCCATATGCTTATGCTTATTTATGCTTATGCAGCAATTATTTCCCATAAATACCCCAATATGTTAGGCTAAGAATTCAATTGTAAAAGAACCTACAAAGCGACATTGAGTTGCTCAGTAAAATAAATTCAATACAATTAAAACATAAATGAATTGTTTCATTCGATACATGGCGATCCTGCCAGGAGTTTTGCGAAAATTAATGTGCAAAAAAGCTATCCTGCCAACCGGTGCCTAGGTTTGAATTGCACAGTGGCAGTCTAGTGCTTTGCTGCACAGATCAGCCTGAATCCTGGTTTGCTTAAATTGCAACATTTTTAAAATTTTGTGCTTAAAAATTATGCACTAAAAAGCACTTTGACTTGATCAGCCACAAAGATTTGCTGAAACTAGTTAAGGAGATACAGGAGTCATCACACATCATTGAGGTACCAATCTTCAAGCAGTTCCACAAATTCGTCATCGGCAAGGGCGGTGCCAATATCAAAAAATACGTGATGAAACACAAACGAAAATCGACTTGCCGGCTGAGGGCGATACGAACGAAGTGATTGTGATCACAGGAAAGAAAGAAAATGTGTTGGAGGCCAAGGAACGTATTCAAAAGATTCAAAACGAGTTGTCCGATATTGTTACGGAAGAGGTACAAATTTCACCGAAGTTTTACAATTCCATCATTGCCACAGGAGGAAAACTAATATCGGCCATTATGGAAGAATGTGGTGGCGTTTCGATTAAGTTCCCCACCAGCGATTCGAAGAGCGATAAGGTTACAATACAATAAATTATATTATAAGCAAACAAAAACTGATGTGCGTCAATCCGCACTCATAGGGCCAGTAAGCGAATTTTTGCTCGTGGCAAAAATATTTTTTTTTTATATACATATACAATACATTTCTTAAGTTACTTTCAATCTTACTGTTTAAAAAAAAAAAAAAAAATTTATGACTTTTTTTTTAAATATTAAGCCAAAATTTTATCAATAAAAATAAATAAATGTTAATTAAAAATTCACTAAAATAAGAATTAATTAAAAAAAAGAGGGTTATAGTTACATAAAATTTTTAAAAAACTTATATGATACAAACTCCCACAGACAGTAGTAGAATTTATAAATACAGCAACAAAGCTTATACCTGATTTTGATGGCAAATAGCCATTTCCTTAATTAAGACTAAACTTAAAGGAAATTCGGAAATTTAATTGACAATGAAAATACAATTGCGGAAATCAGTACCAAACTACGCACCACCGTAAAAGGTGAGTCAGTAGAAGTAGTGACTGCAAAACTTATGAATATAAGACAAAGTAGCAAAACTGCTACAAATTACTGCAATGAAATAGAAACACTAACAAAATCATTAGAAAATGCATATATAAATGACGGCATAAACTTAAATTTGGCAAGTAAATGTGCGCCACAAGCAGCCGTAAGGGCAATAACTAAAAATTGCACATTAGAAAAAGTCAAACTTATTATGGAAGCAGGTCAGTTTACTGACATGAATGAAGTAATAAGCAAATTTGTTGGAAGTTGTACAGAAGCTACAGGCCAACAAAATACCATTATGCACTACCGACAAAGACAATTTGGCAACAGATTCCAAAACAATAGAAATTTTGGAAGAAGGTTTCAAAATAGAACCAATGTTCAAAGAAACCACAATGGCCAAAACAGCAATTATAGTGGAAATAACTATAATAATAGAGGTCAAAACAGTAATACCTACCGAGGTAATACAAGGAATATTAGAATGACCCAAACAGACAACAATAGTTCGGAAAACTCGGACATTCCCCTAAGATAAACTCGGACTACAAAATATACAATCTTAACCTTAACTTTAGCATTTACATACAAGTCGGAATTGCTCTCACTAACTCCGCCATAACACTACTAGTTGACACAGGAGCAGACATTTCCATAATTAAACATGACCAAGATACACTTAAACACATAAACAAAAAACACATTACAACACTACAAGGCATTGGACAAGGAAAAATCAATTCAATAGGCACAACATTTTTCGATTTAAAGTTTAAAAATTACTTAATACCACACGAGTTTCATGTAGTACAAAACGATTTCCCAATACCGTGTGATGGAATTATTGGAATGGACTTTATGAAAAAATACAATTGTCTACTTGAATTCAATGAGAATCACGATTTCCTAACCCTCAGACCAGAAAAATTCCAAATGCACATTGAAATACCAATTATAACTACTTGTAACGATGACATAACACTCCCAGCTATGTCAGAAGTTATAAGAAGGGTGAAACTTTCTACTCCTTTTCAAGAAGTACTGATACCTAATCAAGAAATACAAACAGGTATATTCATTGCAAGTGCCTTGGTAAAATCTGAAAATGCATTCATACGAATTCTTAACACAAATGACAGACCAGTAACGGTAAAACTAAACAGAATTCAATCAGAAAATCTCACTGACTATAACATAATTTCAAGTGATCAAAACAAAACAGAAAGAAAAAATGAAATTTTAGATACACTAAAGAAAAATTTTCCAAAACTATTTGAAAAAACGTTAGCGGAATTATGTTCTAGGTACAGCGATATTTTTGGATTATAAACAGAAGCAATCACATCAAACAATTTTTACACACAAAAGTTAAGGACAAAAGATACAGACCCAGTATACATTAAGAACTACCGTATACCACACACTCACAAAGAAGAAATTGAAAGACAAGTCTCAAAAATGTTAAAAGATGGAATAATAGAGCCATCATGTTCCGAATATAATAGTCCTATTTTATTAGTTCAGAAAAAATCACTTCCAAATTCAATTGAAAAAAGATGGAGGTTAGTAATAGATTACAGGCAGATTAACAAAAAATTAATAGCGGATAAAATCCCACTGCCAAGAATAGATGACATCCTAGACCAATTAGGTCGAGCTAAATATTTTTCTTGTTTGGATCTTATGTCAGGATTCCATCAAATACCACTAGAAACAAATTCACGAGACCTGACATCCTTTTCTACAAATAATGGATCCTACAGGTTTTCTAGACTCCCATACGGATTAAAAATTGCCCCTAATTCATTTCAAAGAATGATGACAATTGCGTTTAGCGGTTTAAAACCAGAACAAGCATTTCTCTATATGGACGACCTGGTAGTCCTGGGTTGCTCTGAGAAACACATGCTATCAAACCTATCGGATGTTTTTGAACTATGTCGCAAGCACAACTTAAAATTACATCCTGAAAAATGTTCATTTTTTATGCGCGAGGTGACTTATTTAGGACATAAGTGCACTGACAAAGGCATACTCCCCGACGACAAAAAATGTTCAGTAATTAAAAATTACCCTATACCTACAGATGCAGATAGTGCGAAAAGATTTGTAGCATTCTGTAACTACTACAGGAGGTTTATAAAAAATTTCTATGAATACTCAAGACATCTCACTAGATTGTCAAAGAAAGGAGTACCTTTTCAGTGGACACTAGAATGTAATAATGCTTTCGAGCACCTTAAAAAGGCATTGATAAGTCCTACATTGTTACAGTACCCAGATTTCAGCAAACAATTTTGTATAACTACTGACGCAAGCAAACACGCATGTGGTGCTGTACTAACACAAGAATATGAGGGAACACAATTGCCGGTGGCATATGCATCTAGAACTTTCACAAAAGGAGAAAGCAATAAGTCAACAATTGAACAAGAATTAACCGCCATACATTGGGCAATAACATATTTTAAACCATACATTTACGGAACAAATTTTCTGGTAAGATCAGATCATAGGCCACTATCTTACCTATTTTCAATGAAAAACCCTAGCTCAAAACTAACTAGAATGAGACTTGATCTTGAAGAATATGACTTTGTGGTAGAGTACCTTAGGGGAAAAGACAACTATGTTGCGGATGCATTATCACGCATTACAATTGACGATTTAAAAGATATAAATGTTAAAAATAACACTTTATACAAAATGCAAACAAGATCTATGACAAACAAAAGTTCTCTTAATCAAAACACAATTAAAACGCATCAATCTAATACATATGATAAGCCAAGTATATATGTACCTATTAATAACACTGACGTGAGAAAATACTATAAATTAAAGATTACACCCAAGACATGCTATATCAAACGGGGTAAATCTATCAAAACATATATACAAATCAATGATTTGTTTGTTAAAGGGAAATTTGACTTAGGTCAATTTTTCTCTAGGCTCGATGATGTGGCCGATAAGCATTCAATTGACAAATTACAAGTGGCACCTAGTGAGAAAATTTTCGAATTTGTCTCTATAAATGAATTTAAAGAAATGGGCAATAAGAAATTAATTAAAATGAAAGTAGCGCTACTGAATGAGGTGACCCAAATAAATTATAAAGATGCAAAAACAATTGAAAGTATATTAAAAAGATATCATGATGACCCGGCAGAAGGAGGTCATTGTGGCATTTTAAGAACCTTGAATAAAATAAAAAGATACTATTACTGGAAACACATGACTAAAACAATCACGAAATATGTTAAGAATTGTCATAAGTGTCAAATAACTAAAGTCACAAAACATATAAAAAGTCCAATGACTTTGACGCCAACACCAAACAAGGCATTTGATACAATATTCGTTGACACAATCGGCCCGCTACCATTGTCAGAAAATGGAAATGCATACGCAGTCACGATAATATACGACATGACTAAATATTTAGTGACAATACCAACTAAAGATAAAAATGCAAAAACTATAGCTAAGGCAATTTTTGATAATTTTATTCTCGTCTACGGTCCTATGAAGACGTTCATATCGGACATGGGCACGGAATATAAAAATTCACTTTTAGAAGAAATATGCAAACTTTTAAATATAGAAAAACTAACATCAACCGCCCACCACCACCAGACGTTAGGGACGGTCGAGAAATCACATAAAGCGTTTAACCAATATGTAAGGTCATATGTATCGATAGACAAAAGTGATTGGGATGAGTGGCTTAAGTATTTTACATACTGCTTTAATACAACACCATCAACTGTACATGACTATTGTCCATACGAGTTAGTTTTTGGAAAACTTCCAAATGGGTTTCAACAATTTGATCAGGTTGACAAAATAAGCCCACTTTATAATTTAGATAATTACGCTAAGGAAATTAGATTTAGGTTAGAAATATCTCATAAAAGAGCAAGGGATATGATAGAACAAGCTAAGATAGTACAAAAATCTTATTTTGATAAAAAAGTTTTAGATTATAACTTTAAAATAGGTGATTTAGTTTTGCTAAAAAACGAATCAGGGCACAAATTGGACCCACAATACAAAGGACCATTTAAAATTAATAATATAGATTTTAAAAATAATGTAACTATAACTGATAAGAAAACGGGAAAAACCCAAATTGCACATAAAAATAGAATTAAGATATATAATCATTAAAACTATTTTTTTTAAGTTTAAATAAATTTATAAACTATTATTATATTTAATTACTTGCTAAATAGGAATGTTCATACAATAAACTCTGTATGAGCATCTTTTAAAAAAGGAGGTGTAGTGTAACTGAAAGTCGACCATGCTTAACGTTTATAATTATTTAATTTATTCATAACAACAATGGTTTCATATTTCAGTTGTGCCAAACCGTCAAACAAACTAACTTTAA